CTGCCTCAGTGGAATGAGCACCAACTCCACCACGCCGGGGGTGCACTGCACGATCTGGTGCATCACGTCCTCCGGCACCGAGAAATTCAGCTTGTTCAGCACCTTCCTGGAGGGTAGACATGGGTAGAAGCGGGGTGCGGCAGCTGCTGTGCTAAGTGCACAGCCTTGGGGGGATGGAAGATCACCGTACCTGGGCCCTGTTCTTGGGTGTCCCAAGTTACCTTTCACCTCCCCAATAGAAGAGTCCCTTAATTTTGTCACCAGACAATTCTGTCTGCCTGGGCTGTGGAGACCATAGGAGGTGGAGGGGCTGGGGCAGCCCTTCCTGGGAGCCCAGGGTAGGGGCTAGAAATCCTGCTAGTGCACCCAGATATTCTGCTACCTGTTCAGGTGACCCCAGTTGCTGAGCTTCTGCTGGAGAGAGTTGGCAGGGACATAATTGTGCATCTCCACCATCTTGGGGAAGTAAAACTTGATGACTTCTGCAACCAGGACTGAAGGAGTAGGAGTGGGAGCAGACATGAAAGGGGGGGGGTGGGAAAGGGAGAAGAGGAAGAGAGACAAATGGGTGGCAGAGTGGTGGGGCCAAGTGGAGAGGTGGAGATGTGGAAATGGAAAAGGATGATAGGAAGAGAGGGGCGAAAGAGGACAGGGGAGGGTGGGGAAAAGGAAGTGAGATCAGTGATCAGCTGGAGACTAAGCCTCCATCATACTCCAGAGGGGCTACATTCCTTCCCCATTAACTCAGGGCATTTGAAAACTGTGGTCTCTGGTGTCCTGATAGAGAAGGAATCTCCATGGGAGCCCTTCAGGATCCTGGGTCTCCATCATAGGCATAAATATAGATACACACACACACACACACACACACACACAACACCAAAGTCCCAGGAGAAAGTCACAGACTCACACAGACATATGTGATAAGATCCCTCTACAGATATGCACATAGGATAGAATGTGTAGATACACAGGATACATACCTGTCCAGACACACACAGCACACACACACACTACACACATGTCCAAGCACACATATAGCACACAGAGAGATGGACACATACACATATTTCCATCACTGGAGTTCCAAGAGACAGTCACCAACATACACACAGAAGCACAAAGAGTCACACAGTAAAATCCCAGGAGACAATCTTAAACACACAGACACCTTCACAATCACAAAGCAACACATATACACACAAGACTCCCCTACATACATACAGGACAAAATGTGTCAATACACATAGGAGCACACACTCTGACTCCCATAAGATAAACATATAGAATATAGCAATATGCATGCACACACGCAGAGATGCAAAAATACATACACAGATATGCACCTTAGTCATTAAGTCCCATGAGAGAGTCACTGACTCACACACTCAGACACATTTCTGCAACTGAAGTCCTAGGAGATAGACAACACCACACACGTACACAAGCGTAAAGATATGTTTGCACAAAGGCCTCTTACACACGTGCATACAGGACAGAAATGTGGACATACACAGGCGCACACCTCCGTCACTGAAGTCCCGGGAGAGATTTCTCTTGGGCCGGGACAGAGGGATGTTGTCTATCCACAGGTACAGCTGGTGCAGCGCCTCCTCGTCCACACTGCCCGCCATTGGCACCCTCGGCAAAGGGAGGCTGATCCAGCCGGCAGCGTCCAGTCCCAAACTCACGGCCGCTCAAGCGTCTCCTCCCTCGCCGACGAGGGCGTCCAGACCCGCTTCTGCCTCTCTAACCCGGAGACTCCCGTCCCAGCTGGGAGAGGCCATATTGTTTTCTGAAACCATGACAACCATCCTTGACTCCAGAGAGCAGAGGCTTCTGGGAGTTGTAGTTTGTCCCGGTTACCTCCTCTCAGGCCTCCAGATTTGAAAAGGCGGTTATAGGTGGCCTTGTCTTCCCCGTTTCCCAAGAAGAAATAATTTTTGCCCACGCCACCTGAGGACAAGCTACTGGCTCGCTCTGGGTCCTTCCAAAGTCAACCAGGCCCGCAGAACCCTGCACCAGCATCCCCAGGACTGGGATCCCCCTTCTGGATTATGTAGCGGTCAGTCCCAAGTGAAGGCAGCATCTGCTGCTTCCCATCTGGACTCTGTGATAGTACCGCCTTGCTGGATCCCTCCTCAAAGCTCTGTGCTCATAGGCCCATCCCCACCCCCCAGCCCCTCCCATCCCCAGCCCAGTCCCAGCAGTATCCTGGTGGGGCATTTAGTATGAAACCCAGACTCCCAGGGAGAACACCAGAGCTCAAGGCCGTTGCTTTGGGCAGGTCATTTAACTCCTCCCTATTGGCCTCCTTTGTAAAATACTGATAGTTCTCACCTATTTGTTTCAATGGGGTAATAGGGAGGAGAATAGGAAGGGTATTTACAGAAGACCTGTATTTGTATGAGGACTGCTGGAACAGTTTATAGATATAAGAGCTGCAAGAACTCCACATCCCTCATCTCCATCCCAAAAGCTATTCTTTCATGGGTTAGAAATTGACCTCAGCAACCAGTTCCATTTCAAGAGGGCTACCTTTAGGAGGATTAGGAAGATGGGTGCTTCCTTAATGAAAGGGCGCAGAGTATAAGTAAAGAGCAACTTCAAGTGGGGAGAACACTTGCTTCCACATTAGCGGTGTAGCTTTGGGCGAATTACTGGACCCTCCGTGTGCCTGTTTTCTCATGGTTTTACCTACCTCATAAGGGCGTTGTGAGCATCTAAAGTGCTTAGCACAGCACCTGAGATGTGGTGTTATCAAAAATTAGATGATCTGCCCTAGCCAGTTTGGCTCAGTGGAGAGGGTCAGCCTTCGGACTAAAGGGTCCCAGGTTCAATTCCAGCCAAGCGCACATGCCCGGGTTGCAGGCTCGATTCCCCCCAGTAGGGGGCGTGCAGGAGGCAGCCAATCAATGTTTCTCTCTCATCATTGAGGTTTCTATCTAGCTCTCTCCCTTTCTGAAATCAATAAAAAAATGTATATTAAAAAAAATGAGGTGATCTTTCTCTCTCATCATTGAGGTTTCTATCTAGCTCTCTCCTTTACTTTCTGAAATCAATTAAAAAATGTATATTAAAAAAAATGAGGTGATCACAGTTGCAGCAAAAGAAGTGTTCTTATAGGCAGGAGACAAATGGAAAGGATTTGCCTTGTTATTTGAGGTAAGGGACTTGGATTGGCCAGGGCCACCTGGGGAGAAGGCTACTGCTCCCACCTATTTACTCCAAAGCAGGCCAGGAGGTAGGTGGTCTCCCTCATGACTTTCTGGTCTCCTCTCCAAGGCATTGATCGGGGTGGGGGGAATGACTGTAAGGGGAATCCCTATTACTGTTTGCTGTCACTTAGTTTCAAAGCCTTCCAAGGCCTAGAAGGGATCTGTGTCACGAGTGCGGAAAGCCAAGGGTGGAGCGGTGACCCCACTTTCTGTTTTAAAGTTGTGAATGAAAAGGGGCCACATGCTAACCTGACTAACTCAGGCAAGGCCTGCGTGGCGGCCTTGCAAACTCAGAGACCTAAAGTAACCACAAAGGATGGTCTGAAATCAAAACTTTTTAAAATAAAAAGCAGTCTATGGTGGATAGTCATGTCCTAGGCCGGTATATTCCCTGACAAAGATCAACTTTGATCTTAACTGAGCCTATTGTCTTTTTGCATCTACAATAAACAAACCTTTGAAAAGTCAGGGTAACTTGTAACTTCCTTTTTTCTGGGCCCCTCAGGGCACAACCAGTGCACCTGGGTGAAACTACAAATTACCTCATTGTTATCGTGTTAATTGTTGACTGTTAACTATCCTGTATCCACCCATGTAAAAATAAGCACGTGTCTATCCTTTTACTTTTTACCCAATCCCAGAGATTTCCCTGCTTTGCTTTCTCCTGCCTTCCTAATCTATCACCAATAGATGTCATGTAACCCACTTATGCCTCCTCCTTTGATTGTAATTTATAAAACAAGGCGACAAACTGCCATTCTCTGGAGCATTATCTCAGTATGTTGAGATTCTGCTTCCCAGTAATTTGGCTCAAATAAACTCACAAAAATTATTTACATATTTGAATGTTTCTTCGTTAACAAAATCATACATAGAGGCCTTGCCTTTCTAGAAGAGACCACACCCAGGGCAGTCAGGAGACAAGATTACCTGGATAGCCCCTCTACCCCCTTTACATTCTAGGGTGGAGAGAGGAACTGCAAGGAGGTGGGGGTGGGGAGGGAACCAGAGGGGTGATATGCCAGCCCTAGCCAAGGTGGGAAAACCGGTTTGGGGCCCAGAGCTCCCTTCCCTGCTCGAGCTCAGGCCCTGCCCTAGGTGGAACCGCTGGGGCCTGAAGGCCTCAATGCTGGAGGGCCAGGAAGGCGAGACTGGCCCTGAAAAAAAGAAAGGGGTTAGGATCATCAAGGGGCCTGTCTTCACCTTTGGACTGGAGGGCACCGCAAAGGGAGTTGCTAATTCATTTTCAGTTTCTTGGGGGGTGCAATCTCTCCCCAGCAATATCACCTTTCTCCTGCCACTGTCTCCAAGGACAGCCACTAGGCTTGGAGATGCCCTCTTGAGGCACCTGTATGCCCCTCCAAACTCCAACCGGTAGCATAGGAGCTGCCCTAACACCCCTTTCTTTCTGCCCTCTGGCCCCACTCCTTAAACGACTTTGAATGAGCCTTGAGAGGCCTAGTTCCCGGGTGCCTACATAGTTTAATTTAGCCCAACAGAGACTGCAGCTCCCTCCCTCCTGTCCGTCAACTGACCCCAAAGCAGTAGAAGGCCTGGCTTCCTCAAAGCCATGCCCAGGCAGGTGCACTGAAGACCCCTTCCTCCCCAAGTCTAGATCGCATTTAGACACAGAGGTGGCCTCTCACCCTAGTCAGGGCCTAGGCTGTGGCCACTCACTCAACACTTGCTTTAATGTCCCACCAGAGCAAGGAACAAAGGAAACTGGGAAAGTATGTGTCCCCAAAACAGACGCAAGCCCAAACCATGAAGGATGATGCACCCTTGGCTGTTAAAACATTCACCCCACAAAAAGGGAGTGGATGGATTTATTGAATTCATACTGGGAAAGGAGCAGCTGGACAACTGGACTCTGGGCCCAGACCCAGGCCCCCTGCCCAAGATAGGACCCTGCCAGGAGGAAGGAGAGGCATGGTGCCTGCAGCTGCCCACAAGGGAAATGCCCATTTTCACTCCCCTGGAGGGCCTCTTGGGAACCTCCAATCTGTTGAGAAAACCAAGGGCCAAAGTAACATGGGCTGGGCCAGAGAAAGGGATTGGGGAGGTGGGAAAGCAGGCAGAAGCAGGCTTAGGAGCCTGTGGTTAGACTGTGCTTCTTGAGGCGGTCTGGGGGCAGGGATGGGGGGCTGCCAGCCTCATAGGGGCCTAGGCTGGACCTTCCTCTGAAGCCCTTCCCAGAATGGCTTTGGGGTCCCCCCCCACCAAAGACCTGGTGTGGACGGCAGAGGGGAGAGGCACTGTCTGGCCGGGAGCCTCCAGGGCCCATCCCTGGTGGCTGCTGTGGCCTAGTCCACTGATGGCATGGTGTGGTAGCACCGGACAGCTCCCCACCTGGTCCCCCAAGTTCAGGGGCAAATGGGGAGGAAAGAGGACTCTGAGAAAGAGGCAATAAGCAGGCAGTGAGGCTGACCCCAACCCTGGGCCCTACCAAGGTGACTGGGCTTGTTCACAGGGCCTGGGGAACATCGCTAAAGTGATGGTAGCATCTGGGGCTCCCTACTCTGGCTCCATCCACAGCAGCTGCCCAAAGAGTCCTTTTGCCCTGGGCTGGTGCTGCCACATCTGGGTTGAGGGCATGGCTAGGCCCAGTGGCTCAGCTTTGATGTCCAAGACCCCGAACTCCTGCCTGCCTGGCATGGTTCTTCCTGGTCACATGGACCAGATCGTGTTCCAAGTGGAGGATGTGGCTCTGCACACGATCATCGATGGGGAAGGAGGTCAGGTACCTCTTTACCATAGCGAAGTAGGCCATGGCCTCCCCAAAGCTAGGCACAGGCACCTCATCACCATCCTCATCTTCATCATCTTCATCGTCATCGTCTTCATCGTCGTCCTCCTCTTCCTCACTGTCCGACTCAGAGTCTGCCTCACCTTCCAGGAAATGGAGGGTAGGGTACTGGGCCTCCTCCTGGGCACCATAGCCTCCGAAGCTGCCACCGGCCTCCATTACACCCTGGGCCCAGTCCTCTGCCTCCAAGCCCTCAGAGGAGCTCTCCTCCTCCTCCTCCTCCTCCTCTTCCTCTTCCTCACTGTCATCAACATCAGCCTCCTCTTCCACCTCCTCTTCCTCCCCCAACTCCTCTCCTTCCCCCCCTTCCTCCTCTTCCTCCCCTTCCTCCTCCTCCTCCTCCTCTGCCTCCTCCTCCTCCCCTTCTCCCTCCTCTTCCTCTTCTTCTTCTTCCTCCTCCTCTTCCTCTCCCTCGCTCTTGAGGGCAGTGGTGATGGTAGCATTTGGGCCACCCCCGAAGCCAGCCTCACGAAAGCAGGCAGCTATGTCAGAAGGCTCCACTGCCTGCCAAGCTGCAGCCACGAAGTGCAGGGCCTCCATGAGGCCCAGCTGCAGGCCTGAACGATCTTGGCCCTCTAGCGCAGCCATGGCCTTGAGCAGCATGGCCTGGCGGTAGTGGCCCTTCACCTGTTGGACAACTCCCCGCTCCAGTGGCTGCACGGTGCCAGGCGGGAAGAAGGCTAGCTGCACATGCCGGAGGCCTGAGGTATCCACGGACTGGGCAGCCAGGCGGCCAGCAAGTAGCAGGACTCGGCGAGACTCTGCAGCCATGCGGGTGTCCAGGGCCTTCAGGTACTTGGCCAGGGCCTGGGTGGTGACACCACCCTTGGAGTTGGCGGTGTAGTCGCAGGGCAGGCCGGCTTGGCCAGCACGGGGCTTGGCTGACTTGCCCGCCACCAGCGGGGGCAGCTTCTCGCTGCCGTCGGCGTTGGCGCACAGCAACACACTCAGGCG